TGTATTTCGGTTGTCTGCCTGTTCTGCTCCCCTCTCTGTCTCTGGTGAATCCTCTCACCCCCTACCCCCCGCACCTCTGGCCTGTTCCCAGCTCTTGTATAAAAATAAATAAATCTTTGAAAAGAAAAAAGAACAGTTCAGTTAAAAAAAAAAAGGCAAGTAAGTTCCTTTACTTATGCTTCAAATGAATAAAAGATCTACATAGCAGTGTTTGAAGACTTAGGGAAATTTTTCTTAAACAATATTCCCTATTTTAGTCATATTCAATTGGATTGCATAGACATTTGACTTATATTATTTGCATTAAAAACATAATTGGATAGCTATAGCACCATTTTACAAATGAGGAAATGAGGCTGTCAGGTGATTTATTCAACCTGACAGAGCTCTAAGGTGTCTGACACACAGTTTGATCTAAGACAAAGTAGAACATGGGCATGCACCCAGTGGAAACTAGGAACAGTAGATGAAGCAGGGAATTGGAAGTCCTGAGGAGAGCAAGGACTGCTCAAGCCTGGCAAATATCTAGGACAGACTTCTATTCCACCTGGTACCTGTCCAAAATCTCGATGTCTTAAGATCTGAAATAGGAATCAGAGGAGATTCTCAGCACTACTGAATAGAATGGAATCAGGGCCTGGCACTCGTGTTATCCTAGTACTTAAAAAAAAAAAAAAAAAGTTCTCTGTTGAAACTATGAAGTAAGTCATTTTACACCTTGGAGTTTATCAGTGAAATAGTTTCAACCAATCTGCCCTCAGGTAGGCAGGGAAATGTAATGACATCACTCATGAAAGGTGAAAGACTCTATTATATTTATACCATTTCATACATATGTAGAAATGTTGTGATGGTCTACCCTTCATCAGAAAGAACTTCTCCTCCCACTCTTGTCTCTCTCTCATCTCATGTTGTATGTGTATGAGAGGATAATGATCCTGACTGATCCAGAAATGGGTATAATTGAAATGGAGTGACTTATGCTAACAATTTAAAATGAAAGTGACCACTTGTTTGTGAGGACATGGGTAAACAGACACACGAGGAAAGTGGCCAAGCTTAATATACTAGCAGGTGATGCTGATAATTCGCTTCTGATAAGTATAAATATAGGAACTGAAAAACTAATCTGAGATGCTTTGGACACCACATCTTGGGCTATCTATCCAAAGCCTTTTCCAGATTGTGGCTTTTACCACTGGAAACTCTGCCCAAAAAACAGCACTAACCTCCTTTATGAGCTGATGGCCACAAGCAAAGTTCTGGGAACGGAAAGCCTTCATTTCTGCACTGTTCTCACAAACCTCCTCTTAGCAGTTTATATCTCCCCATTTTACTACTAAGTGAATTGTATGTTTATATTGTTTTAGTGTTAATTTCCTCCAGTTAACCATACTGTAATTACATGTGATTGTCTTGAGTGTCTAAGTGAAACCTCTCCACCTAGATGAGAGTTAGCGCATGGAGTCTGAACCTTATATCACAACTTCCAAACCCAGCAGATGAGATCTTTTTCTATCTTCAACAGTTTTCTTCTGAAAGTTTATCTTTTATAAGTGCATTATGAGGTCTCCGCTTGTATGGAAACTCCCCTTTGAATTAATTTTAACTCTTTGCTTGTTATAACAAAAATAATGGTTATAATTATAAACATTTATTGAGGACTTACAGGCCATTGACTACAATAATTGTTTGTTGAGCATTATCTCTTTTTGTTCTCCCAACAATCATAAGAGGTGGTTACTATTATAACCACACACCATTTATGGATGATGAAACAGATGATTAGATGAAACAGAGTGATAGTTTAACTTGTCCCAGTTTGCACATCCAGGAAATAAATAACCAGCCTCTAAACCCGAGTCTCACTGACTTCAGAGAATATAGTCCTCCAATTTGCATTATAAACATGCTTCTTCCTACTAGATTACTGGAAACCCATGGTTAAATCTAGAAGACTACCTTGGAAATAATCTTGTCTGGCCATCTCATCTTACAAATGAAGAAACTGAGACACCAGAAAAGTGTTTTGGTCAAGGTAACATAACTGTTAATGAGACAGATAAGAACCAAACTTCTACTTTTCATATTGCTTATAAGATTCAAAAAGGCAGGAGGCTACCTTGTCATCCTTTTTTCACCAGCAGCACTCAACACACATCTTGCTTATAACAAATGCTTAAGCATTAAATTTTATTGAAAAATTTTGTGATCAGGGATCACTAACTACAGTATGCAGGCATACTGATCATATCGTGTTTTTTTTTTTTTAAAGATTTATTTATTTATGCATACAAGAGCTGGGGTACAGGCCAGAGGTATGGTGGGGTGAGAGGATTCACCAAAGACAGAGCAGGGAACAGAACAGTCAGAGGGGCTGAAATACACTGCTGAGGGGAGCAGCGAGCGAGCCAGAAGAGGTCTGCCATGACATGTGGGCAGCTCCCTGGCCAGTGGGGATCAAACCAGCACTGCAGAGGTTGTGGACAGCTTCACAGTGCTGCGCTCAACCACCTGTGCTACTGGGGAGGCCCCATATCATGGTTATTAATGCTATACATAATAGTGTAATTTGCCACTACTCACATATCTAAGGGGACTTTCAACACATGATCAAAACTTGTTTTTTAGTAATTTTTTTAAACCAGCAACCAACTAAGAGCTTCTGAGTAAAACTGATTACAGAGATAGAATTAAATGAGATAAAGCCCAAAATGAAGTCTAAGAGTGAAAACTCTTACATTATAAGGAAACGTAATAATGTGTCCTCTCCATTTTAGTGAAATATTCTAACCACATAATTCAGACATCAGTGAAAAATATCTCCTTGGAGATTAAATGTGTTAGTGGCAATTTATTGGTGCCTTCTTTACCACATTGCTCTCCAATACCTTTTTAAGATTCCCATCACTATCAGGAGAAACGACACAGAATATTTAACACGGTATGCAAGGTCCTTTCCAATTTGATCCTTCTATTTCCCCAGATGTACTGCTTATGAGTCTACAATGTGTATTTTGGTTCCTTTTGGAGGCTCAGTTTCCCCAAAAGAGTTAGATATGTTTTTTCTCAATATGACCAGAGTAGGCCTCTTGTGAGCTTGGTATGGAAACTAAAGGTCGATCAAGGCCCTATGGGCCTTGGGTGGTCTAATATATGAAGACTATTTTGAGTTGAGAACATTGGAGGACTGGAAACCTGGGAGAAACTTCTGTGCTTAACTAAGTTCTTTGCCCTTCCCCAATTGAAGAAAAATTCTTCATGTCCTAAGCTTTTGACCCTTTTCCTATTGGAAGAAGAAGCAAACGTTGCTCCTATTTTTAGGTTGGAGGTCTTTTCCTATCTAAGAATCTCATCTTTACTTTCAAAGTAAAGATGAGGTCACCCCTTGCTTGTCTCCTCCTCTCTGTTCTTGATAGCCCAGATTTCAAAATGCAGGATAAATGCTCCCAGTCCACTCCATTATGCTCTAGAATTTTTAAGCATTTAAATTCTCCTTATGTTTGTTATTGTTTTTCCTTTGCTTAGTGGTCTGATGCTTTTTTAATTATTCATCTGGCCCTAGAAGAACCTAGAGAGACACACAGGATGATTTCTTTGGGCTCCAAAACTTATACCATTCTGGCTTCTAGAAAAAGAGCTTCCCTTCACAGGGAAAAACACTGCCTTTACTTTCTTCTCACTAATTAACTAACTCATCTGCTTCCTTCTAACCTTTGGTTTCATTACCTCATAGCTGATCAATACTAAAACCTGACTAACCATCTGAATCATCTGAGGAGTTAATATAAAAAACAACGGTTACAACAGAGATTATGATTTGTAGGCATCATGATTTCTTAGAAGATTTCTGAGTGATTCTGGTAAATTACATCCTTAGAAAAATGTTTCTAAACATATACTTCCCCATTACATCATTTATTAAACTCTAATTGTTGTGTTTCTCCTCCCTACCAGATCAGAAACCCCTTATTGGAAGAGAGATACATCTTCCATTTCTCTAACACTAGCTAACATTAGGACAGTAACAAAGGTTGGATGAAAGAAATAATAAATGAAATTGTCATCAGCTTCTTTCTCAAGCTATTTCTCTGCTTACAATATGATCATATCTACTCCATTGCTTTTAATAACCTTTTCACATCCTCTTGAATCTCCACTTGCCATATATTACCAAGGTAGATATTTTTGTTTATTTTTTCTACTAACATCTTGTAGCTTAACAGATTATTTATTTGTCTACCTCTCCCACTGAGTTCTGAGCCCCTGAAGTCATGATCAAAGTCTTTTTCAATTTTGTAATTCAGAAATCATCAATACCTCCCTTCCATACTTGTTGAATTAAACTTAAAATCTGTATTTCTTTAATTTCCTAATCTTTCATTACTGAAGTTCCCAGAATAAAATCTTTCTGACTGCCTAACACATAACATTTCACAGAAATACATTCAGTAATCTTGAGTTAATGTCAGATGCAAAAGTTCCCAAGGAAAAAATTAGGTCAACACTCACACTCATAAAGTGTGTGGGGGGTATGTCTGTGTGTGTGTGTGTGTGTATCCAATAAAAGAGTGATGAGGTTTCATGACTTTGGAGGGGGCCATAATTGGGACAAGGAGATTTATACTTGATGGTTTCAGCAGAAATTATTCAGAAGGTATTGGTATGGATTATAAATGCTCCTCAATGTGTAATATTACATCCCAATGAATATATCCTTAGTTGAAAATGTTACCAGGTAAAAATATGTTTAATATGCCCAACCTACCAAACACCACAGCTTAGCCCAGCCTATCTTAAACAATCTGAGAACATTTACCTTTGCCTACAATTAGGCAGTTATCTTGAATTTTATCTAAAGAGCCATTGTCCTCTTCTTAACAAAAGCATCAGACAATAGATGGGTATTTTTGTAGAGGTGATGGTATGTAAAAACACAGAACACAATATACAAAAATAATGTTAGCAACACAGGACACTGTAGAGTACTGTTTGTTTACCTTTGTGAATGTGTGGCTCCCTGGTCAGCTTGCTGCTGTTGCATGCATCATGAGACTATGAGACTGCGTATTGCTACCCTGCAAAAGAACAGAATTCCAGATTGGTTTCTACTGAATACATGTTGCTTTCATTTCATCATAAAGTCACAAAATGATAAGCAAAACTATCTTCAGCTGGGCCTATACTCAGAAAATTATACCTTAGCCATATGACTCTAATGTTCATTCATTTCCAAGCTACTACTCTCCTAGGACACAGCAATAAAAGTATTACATGAGACTGGCTGTTATGCTTGGCAAAGTGAGAGTGGTGGTTACTGACATTACTGTCCCAGAGAGAATCTGAAATCAAGATACTGTGACAACAGAGACTTAAATTTAGAGCTAGGTCACTACTCAGTTATATAAAGAAAATAGAAGTACTGAGCCAAGGTAAGGGTGAAGAAATGAACAAGAATTAGAGAAAAAAGGTGACTGGAGGAAGGCTATAATTGAGTTGGAGAAGCTGAATCTTCTCAAAATGTTAAACCTACAGGGCACTTATTTTGGATTAACCCATAAATATTTTGTTGGATAGAGAGAAGACTCTAGAGGGAATAAACTGGAATCAACTGTAAATGTTGAACAAACAGGTAAAGGAAGAATGAATAAATGCATGAAAGAATATCTGGGACAGTATCCATAATGTCAAGTAGTATGAACATATGCTATTTTATATACCCTCCATCATTCTCTTTGGGCAGAAATAGCTGAATCTCTCAATTGGAACTGGGCTCCAGCACTAAACAAATTAGTTTTCTCCTTCATGGACCATTTTCATGTCTGAATTATTTCCTCTTACTCCCCTAATATAGGTCTCCTTTCCTCTGAGTTCCTGGAATGGCCAATGACTTCCTCTTGAATAGCCCAACCTGATCTATAATGAGGTTACACTCAGAACTCTGGCATTCAAAAAAACCCAGGGGTTGAAGCAAAATTAAATGCCAAGTCTGCAAAACAAAATGCAATAGCCTAAATCCCTTTGGTCAGTTAATATTTGCAAAAACACTGTCAGTGAGTTATTAAGCAAACACAATTTATTTGACCTTCAGGTATTATATCTGAAAGAAAAAGGTAGGGGTGCTTATCATTTATCCAAAAGTGCATCTCACTAACTGAAGTTTGAACATTCCTTCCAAATATATAAAAATGACAGGGGTAAGTGTAGTGGGGAGAGAAACGAAAATATAGAACTTCACAATAACTCACAAGCTATTTTTGAAAATTTTGTGAGTATATACCCTTTTTATCAAGAAATATAGTGTAGCTATAAATCCAAAGACCTGTAAATCTAGTGCTATTCAAACTTATGTAACTGTTTCCTACTATACCTTTAATTTAAAGATGCCCAATATAATGATAGACCTAATTATTATTTGCTTATAACCTTATTAATACTACTTAAAATCAGACCAAATATAGTATTAAGAATCAGCATACAGTATGCATAAAAATGTTTAATTTTCTTTTCAATAGTATCACTTTCAATCTTGTTTTTAGAACAGAAAGGCTCCTTTCTGTTTATTTGAACAACTGGCATTGCTGTCTTATTTTGAAAAAAAAAAAAAAAAGAAAAAGGAGTTCCAATTGAAAAATTAGGTCTAATAAATTATGTACTTGGGTCTAGCTAAAAAGTTGGGGTCTCGATGTGGGAGAGAACTCACAAATCTTACATATTGAATGCCATGTGCCGCATATATTAGGTTTAACCACAGGAAAATGGTTTTCCAAACAGATGGCCACCAGCAAGTCCAGTCCTGCAGAGTGATAAACAATGGAGTATTTCAGGGTGATAGAAAGGACAGGAGAAGAGGGAGAGAAACAGTCAACTAGCCACTCCTTTTGATGGCGTTCCTCATAAACTGTAAACTTTTACTGACCTAGATTAATTCATGGAACTTGCTGATGACTTATATGTTTAATCATATATATATTAAGGACCTCCTACTGTACCTCGGGAAACACACACACACACACACCCCCAAATAACGTCAGTGTTGGAGGGAAAATAGAAACCCTTAGAGTTGTCTCCAATGATTTATGAGCCCATTTCTCATGTGATAGACCAGTCTGCGTTCTTAGTACCTGGGTTTTTCCTTTTACCTGGCTTATGGATCTCTCCAAAACCTTTCTATGTCTGAGTTTTGTGGTTATGTAAGATGTAAACTAATAAGCTCAAATTCTGCTGCCTAAAATCTCTACTCTTATTTTCACCACCCATAAAGGAAAATAAACATCAAAGACAGCACATCAGAAATTTCTCCTTGCAGAAAGGAAAGGAGAGGCGGAGTCAGAAATTTCCTAACAAGTAAGATGAGCTTTTTTTAATTGAAGGAGAACTGTGTAAGGAACTCTCAGATCCCTTACCAGTCTACCAAAGCAATGCTAGACCTCTCATAGCTTTTAAATTATGAGAACACATAATTGTGATTTGTCATGCTTTCTGTGTCATTAATGGGTCCTGAAGACCAGTCATTTATTTACTGCTCCACTGAAAGCCTCTGAAAAATTCATTCATATAGAAAAAATGTTGCCTGAGCACAATACTAGATATTGGGCAATCAAAGGAGACTTAGACATTCAAAGTTGTTTTCTAGGAGCTCACAAGCTACTTTGAATGCAATAGGGTTACTTAGAATAATGTCAATTACTTAAGTAACATGGAGTGCATCCATATTGGAGACATCTACTCAAGTTCACAAAATGGGCCTTTCAGAAATTATATATTAAAAAACAGAATTAAGTCAGAGTTTCTCTGTTTAAGCTTGCCAAGCATATTAGGAATCAGGGAACACCTTTATTTTCATAAATCAGCAATTCCTTAAAATATAACATGTGTTCAGCCTGTATGCTTTATGGAATCATTCCTAAAATGCTTCTAATGTCATAGATATAAAGTAAGGATTTAAAGCTAATAGTTTCTGGGACACCATGGAGATGGTCTTCCACAACAGGTGAGCAAATCAATGGACTCAGATTCTAGAAGACCCAAGTTTCAGTATCAACTAAGACATACATTCATCATATTAGGAAAAAATATTTCATTACTTTTAGTAGTATTTTCAAAGCAAAGAGAAGAAACAAAATGACTTTCCAGCTCTTCAAAAGTCTTATTCCTACATTATATTTCCTAAGCCCCACTATATCCAACAAAGTTCACTGAGGGACAGAGAGAGTCAGGCTAGTTCTTTCAGGGATTGGAAGGAAGAACAACGAATCTTGATTTTTAGATTCAGGCATATATTAGCATGTCCACTACAGACTGAGACACAGATAGAAATACCAGGGGTAAGCGGACAAAGCCCAAAGCCAATAGCCAAGAAATAGGAGGTGAAGAGGCAGGCCCTAAAAAGCAAGCAGATCAGAGACAAGTCACCTGCATTAGGAAGACTTGCTACCTAAAATAGGTATCCAGCAATGCCAGCCTTTGCATTTCTTTTTAAGGGAAGGAATGAAGGAAAGCTAATTTTCCATATTATGCACTTTACAAATGCTAGCTCTTTAATTACATTTTAAATTTGAGGAAATGGAGGTTCAGAGAATGTTAGTGACTTGCTCAAGATTCAGGAGATATGAGGGAACTAAGAGGCTATCCTAAAAGGTCTCATAATGAGCCCTTTGGTTGAGTCTTGTCTCTTTTGTAAAGCCTTTCACTTTTGGGGAGGTTATAAAAAATTTATCTCCGAAAGCTGTCCAAATGGAAGAACTATTTTTTTAAAGATTTATTTATTCATTCATATAAGAACTGGGGTATAGGCCAGAGGTGTGGGGGGTGAGAGGATTCACCAGAGCCTGAGCGGGTAACAGAACAGGCAGAGGGGCTGAAATACACTGCTGAGGGGAGCAGTAGGTGAGACAGGAGAGGTCTGCCTCGCGATGTGGGTTGCTCCCTGGCCAGGGATCGAACTCGTGCTGCAGTGGCTACAGACAGCCTCACAGGCTGTGTCTTAACCCCTTGTGCCACCAGGGAGGCCCTGGAAGATCTATTGTTAACCAGACTTTAGGTACACTGATTTCTGCCAGGATGTGCACTAAGTGGATACTGAGAATGGCTGGGACCTAGAGACAAGACATATTTCACAGTGGGGCAGGTACTCAGAGCCAGACTAAGACCTCTAAAGATATGAGAGCAAACACCACAGGAGATAGAACACAGAAACAAAAGATAATAGTGGCCATGGACAAGCAGCATCCCAGCAAGGCAGACGTTAGTTTCTGAACAGCAGACACCAGACACATGTGCTCTAGTGTCACAGTCTGGGGCCTGGCAAAATACCGAATCAAGGAGAATGGTAAGGTTTCTGGACACATGCCTAGGGTCCTGCTTGGAATTGGGATTTAGGAGTGCACAAAATCCCAGCTGTCAGTTGAATTGGATAGGACAGCACCCTATCATTTAATTAATAAATCAACAGTGACTAATTTTGCACCTGCTGAATTCAGGGTCTTGTTCTAGGCAGGGATCAATGAGCAAAGCAGACCAAAATGCCTACCTCAGGGGAATGTGGAGGAGTAAAACAAAGTGGGGAGGGAGAACAGTAGTCTATGGGTGTTTGGTGGGTATGCTAAGGTAAGAACACCTGAAAGGGTAGGGACCCTGTACTTTTATAACATAAACAAGGATATAAACCAGCATTGCCTCTATAAAGAAATATCAAAAAATCAATGAAACATTAACCTGCAGAAAAAATGCCCAACTTCATAGAATTTCCTTTTTACTGGAAGAAGGAACCCAGCAAATATATCAGGTACCAAAGAATAAAGCAAGAACATACATGAGAACAATCATGAGAACATCAGAGATCTGACTTAATTTTCTCTGACTAAATTATTAGTCTCTGATTAAAAAGCTCCTTCTTAATAGGAATACAGTGGGCCTTCAAGTGTGGAGGGGGATTGAACCTACAGAGTATAAAATTTGGAGGGGTAGGACAGCAGGAAAGCCACTACTGGGGTCAAAGAATACATTCAAAGGAAATGGTCAGGGACTAATTTAACCCTCTTTTATGTATAACTTACTCATATTTACCTTATCATTTGGATGAAAAGGTCAAGAATTATGGATTCATTTATGGTCACAACAGAGACGTATGCAGGTGACATTACACAAGCCGGGTTCATCATTCACATCACAGTCTGTGAAGTACATCCCTGCAGAAATGCAGTGCACAATTAAATGGTTGTATCTAGCAGCCCTAAACCTTTACCAAGACCTATAATATAATGACAGATATTATCTCAGCAGTGGTATTCACCGTGCTCTAGGACACTAAGATTAGTTTGCCAAATACTGAGCGAAATTAACCCATTTAAAATAACCAGTATAGGGCCTCCCCCGTGGCGCAGCGGTTGAGCGCTGGGTTGCGAAGCTGCCCGCAGCCTCTGCAGTGCCAGTTCGATCCCCGGCTGCTCCCCGGCCACCGGAGGAGGGTCCCACATGGCGCGCAGACCTCTCCTGCCGCCCGCTGCTCCCCTCAGCAGTGTACTTAGGTCCTTCTGCCTGCTGTGCTCCCCGCTCTGGCTCTGGTGAATTCTCTCACCCTCCTGCGCTTCTGACTGTATCCAGTGCATGTATAAACAAACAAACAAATAAATAAAACATGCCTCAAAAAAAATAAAATAAAATAAAATAAAATAACCAGTATATTCAAAAATAGAAAGGTTAAGACATACAATAATTTGAGATTTCCTAATCATTCTGTCTTCTTTATTCTAGCCCAAAGAGAAACATTCAAATGGAAAAAAAAGAATAGCAAATCTACACAACACTGATGCTCTATGTGTGTTTTTTAAACATTCCTTCAATTGAATTTTAAAGACTCATAAAACAGCATAGCTAAGATACTTCTAAGAGACTTCTTAAAGGGAAAGAGACCCTCCCCAAATTACTTAAATGCACGTGACAGTCTTAAATTTGGAGCCAGTTCTCCTGAGGGACCCTTTAGTGCTTGGTCTGCCTTACCCACACAACCCCAGCATTCATATAGAAAATTGGCAGCTATTTAGCATGAGAAGAAATGTCTCTGTTTGTCTCAGGATTTCTCAGAATATAAAGTTTGCTTTGAAACTTTATACTAATTCTGACTCAGGCCACAGAACTTTCACAGGTTTCATCTACCCACACCTACTTTTGTTTGAGCAAGCAAAAATAACATTTAGTTCTTCCCTCCAACAAACAAGTCTCGACAAAGCCAAAGCTGGTTTAGTCATTTTTCCAGTCTTTCTTTTGTAACACCTTATTTATCATAATGAACCTGAGTCACTGTTTTCCTAAAAGTGGACAGGAGGAAATAAATGATAGTGACTATTCTGACATAGAACTGAACAAATTAACATATTTGTGTTTATTGACATGATAAGATCTTTATAATAAGTTTTTCAATGATAAAAAGTTAATTCATAAAGGGCTAGGGCTCCTATTTTAAGATGCATAAATAGTTTTTATTAGCAAAAGTTTAAAATAATTTGTCAAATTTTAAACAGTCAAAATTTTCCTCTGTTGGGTATATTTTATATTTTAATCAAGAGAGTAGTAGTTTGTCTAGATTTCCTACATTTTCTAAAATGAATATTTATTGCCTAATAAAAATGATGGACTGGGGCCTCCCCTGGTGGCGCAGTGGCTGAGCGCTGGGCTGCGAAGCTGCCTGCAGCCTCTGCAGCGCCGGTTCGATACCTGGCCACAGGCGAGAGTCCCACATGGCGCGCAG